TTTTTTTTTTTTTTTTGGTCTTGGGTGCAGCCCTTTTGCTTCCCACCCCGAAGCCTGGACTGAAGACTTCCCGCCTTTGTGCAGGGGCTGGCATTGGGCCTCCTGGCTTTGGGGGTGAGGCAGCTGCTCCAGGGGCTCTCAGTTGACCCTGTGGATACTCTAGCTGCCTCCACAGGGCCTCCAGTGTGGGCCCACCATTAAGAAAGCACATCTTGTTTTGACGTGCATATGACTTACTGTTTTTGTTTTTTAATATGTAAAAGATCCGTAGCAGCTGCGAAACGCCCCACAGGTGGCCTGGCTTTCTGCAGTCTTGGTGCTGGGAACCAGGCTCTTGCTTGCCGTTAGGGGGCTCGGGATGGGCTGGGGCTGGAGTTTGCCAAGCTCCACGTGTGCTGGAGCATTTGAGGAGGAGGGAGGCAGCACGGGGAGCAGGCTTTTGTGTCGTAGTGTTTGGAGACTTGCCCAGGACTTGGGAGTCAACTTTTCTCTTGCCTCCTGGTGACTTTGAACTTCCCAGCTAGTGCAAGGTGACGGCCCCCAGCAAGCGGCTCAACACAGCCGGGCCTTGACCCCTTTCAGCGGGAAAAGGCAAGAGCAGCAGCAGCGTGAAGCCTACTTTGTAAAGCACACTCTTGGCAAACACTTTTCTGTTTTTTTGGGAAAAATGTAGCTCTGCTGTTTCCCCTCAGCCTGCATCATGCCGGAATTTTGGATCAAACCAGTGTTTCCCAGCAGTCAGTCCTTTTTAAAATGGCTGAAATTGTTATGTTGTTTTCATAAAGATTCACCTTCCTCCCTTCCACTTCCAGTGAGGGAGCCGTTCCAGCCGCAGCTGAAATGAGCTGTTTGGGAGTCGGAGTTGACGGGTTTGTGTTAGACACATTTTCTGAACCCTGGGCTGCCTCTGGCCAGGGAGGTGGCCGCAGGTGGGTGATTCAGGGTTAGTGCTTGGTGACATCTGTGGATTGTGGGCAGTGCATTGAGATGATGAGGAATCTGCTCTCCCCCTCTGCTAGAAACACCCCTGCTGTGCTCCCAGTCTGCGTTTGCTGTCCCCCGAATAATGGGAGAGTGGATATTGCCCTATCTGCTTGGTCACCTGTGAGCAGAAATTGTGGCTGTTTGAATGTGGGGTACTAGAGGCCTGAAGATCCCCCTAGGGACTTGTTTGGAACCATTTCGGGGTCCATCTTACTCTGTTCCCCAAGGTTCTCAGCTATAGAGGGTCTGAGGAGGAGGTGAGATAGAATGGGACACCAAGGGAGGACTGGGAGTAACCCAGATCCAGGTTTAGGTGGGCACCTGGTGGAACCCAGACACACCGACCCCAAGCCCCTCATTTTCATCTTTCTGTCTCCTTTTGCCCCCAGTCTGTGTTTGAAGCATCCTGGGCTGTACCTCCTTAAAACCAACCAAGCTCACTGCCATCAAGTGGGTCCCGACTCATAGCGACCCCTCCTTAGGTTTCTGAGGTGGTATCTCTGCGAAAGTAGATTGCCTAGTCTTCCTTCCAAGGAGTAGCTGGTGGTTTTGAACCGCCAGCCTTCTGGTTAGCAGTCAAATGCCTTAGGCACTGTGCCACCAGTGAGAGATAATTTATTGTCTGATCATTATTGAGTGTGTTATGCCCTCTCTGTGCCCTCCCAGTGGTTGACTGTTTCCCCATCGAGTCCTTGTCAATTACACAGAGCATTTGGCTCATTTTTATTTAATCTGATGTCCATTAAACATCACACTTGTTCACTGCCAGCTTTTTCATTTCCTTGTTACTAATTTCTTAAATTTTTTTTTTTCCTTCCTTTTGGTTGAACTCATCCATTCACCCCACAGAGTATGCATTTGTTGGGTCTTGGCCCAAAATATCCCTCTGTGGGAAGGAAGACCAAGTCACACGCCTTCTTTCCTCTCATATTCAAAGTCTCAGTCAGGGCGGGAGCACAGAGTGGGGGTCTCAGGGGCGGAAGGGTGGGTTCAGGAAGTTGATGGAGTTTGGCAGGTTGTGGAGGAGGGAGTTGCCAGGAGTGGACAGTGAGGGTTCTCCGTGGAAAGGTGAGCTGAGGGATGTTGAGGGAAGGCTGGGGGTAGGGCAAGAGCGATGCTAGGGACCTTGTGCAGAAGCAGGTGTGGGGCTCTGTGCCGGTGGGCCCCATGGGGTGCTGAGGTGTGGCTCAGTGTACAAGAGCAGCAACTGTGGTACTGGTACGTGTCACCCTGATGAGCCGGGTAATGGTGTCTCCATTATGACCGGAGCCTTCCCTCCCTGTCCCTTTGTTCATCTTCCCTCCATCCCCTCACCCCTACCCACCAAAAAGGTCAGTGACAGGTAGTGAGTATGAGGCTTGAAAAGTGAAACAAGACAGTGGGAAGAAAGGAAGAGATCCAGGAAGAAGCAGGAATTTGCGGCTAGTGGACTGGGCCATTCGAGGGCCAGAACAGCCAAGGTTCCAGAGGCCATGGGGAGTGGGGGTGGGGCAGAGTCTCGGCTTCCCGATGAGCACCAGGTCTGCAGGGACGTGCCCCATTGCAGTAGCTTCAGCACAGAAGGGAATCCCCTGCCCGCCTTCTTTGGAAGCTTCTAGAACAGGAAGGGCCCACTCTAGGGTAGGGGGATAGATGGAAAAGTATGTTCTTGATGCCTTTTTGTTAGGAATTTGGGCCAGGAAGCGGGGCCCAGCTTTTGTGTGTACACCCGCTTTTCCCATGCCCCTGGGGGTTACTCGAGCAGAGGGGCACTGCTCGTGCAAATCCACTCCTGACACCTGGCCTGTCTAGACTGGTGACCTTTGACCTCCCCGCCCCTAGGAGTGGCTGAGCTCAGAAGCCCCTTTTTGGGACTGTGACACAAAGCCTCTTTCTTTCCTTTGGCCCCCTGGCCCCCCACCTGCAGCCTGTGTGGGTGCTGGAGTGCTGCTGCTGGTGGTAGCTCAGGCAGAGGCAGGCGGGCTCCTGGCATGGCAGGGGATCCCATGAGAAAAGATCTTTGTTTTTGTATCCCAGATTCCTTTCCCTTCTCCAGGTGCACAAGTGCCTCTGAAGTCCCTGGGCTGCTGGCTGGGAGGAACACCTGGATATGTTTGTGGGGAGAGACCCCAGGCAGGGTGGCTGTCTGGGGGCAGGGGTTGTTGACGTCCATGTCTCCAAAATTAATTCCCGGATGGACCCTGAGCGTACCTGCCTGGAGACCTAGTCCCTGTGGCTGGAACGTTGGTCACAAGCTGAGGGCTAGGAAGCAGGGAATTCAAGCTGTCCACCCTGCTCCTGTTCATCTCCCCTCCTCACCCCCACTTCCCTTCAATCACCCAGCGACCCACAGAAGTGCCTAACCCTTAGAGACGCGTGGGATGGGAAGGAGGGGCCAGCTTTTGTGTCTCCCCCATGCTGTCTCAGGACACCCCACAAAAAGCTGGTTCTGAGTCAGATTGTCTGCTCCCTAAAGCCTTGGTGTCCCAAACCAGGCTGGACACCATGGGGTCTGCATAAGGGCCGTGGGAAGCAGGGTTTGCCTTATGCCTGTCCAAGTGGTTCCCAGTGTGTTTCTGGGGCTCCCCTAACATCTCAGGTGTTTATCTTGTCCTACATTTTTCTTTAGAAAAAAAATCCTACTGTCCCCAAGGGAGGGTCCAACTCCTCCCACTGGGGCACATGCCTCCCTGAACCCCCAGAGTGCCTTGTCTGGAACCCCACATTTGGGACCCTGAGAGAGTGGGGGAGGGAAAGCCAGCCTTTGCTTGGGGCTCTGGAGGAACGTGAACTTGACACCCCAGAAAGCAAATAAAACAATAGAAATGTTTGAGTTGTTGTGTGTCCTTGGGGGAGTTTGGGGAGTCCAGGGGGGCAGGAGTGGGGAGTGGGTCTCATATGAGCACGTGTTGTTGGTGGCCCCTGAATCAGACTCCCTCGTGGAGGGTGGGTCAAA